CCACAGAACCTGCAACTGCCGAAACAAAGAGCAATGCCCACTCCAAGGAAATTGCCTGGCCTCTAACATCATCTATAAAGCAAAAGTGGAAAAGACCAACGAAGACGACCCTAAAGTTTACATCGGACGGACAGAGCCACCCTTCAAATCCAGATACTACAACCACACACAATCGTTCAAGAGGGAGAAACACCAACACAGCACCGAACTCTCCAGATACATATGGGAACTCAAAAAGAAAAATCAACCATTCACCATCTCTTGGTCTATCATCACCCTGTATACATATGGGAACTCAAAAAGAAAAATCAACCATTCACCATCTCTTGGTCTATCATCACCAAAGCCCAGGCATTCAACAACAAGACGAAACGATGCGACCTATGTATATCAGAGAAGCTTGCCATCATCAACGCGGGAAGGACGGGACTCCTAAACAGAAGGTCAGAACTTGTATCGAAATGCCGTCACGAAAACAAGCACTACCTCCGAACAGCAACTCCGACGTCCGCAATAACCTAACTTCATACTACGTCCGCACAAGCAAGTCACATCACCCCACAACGTTCACCTTTCATCAGTTGCCTGACGATCGCAATAGCGTGAAACTCCGAGTAGCAACATTCTGTTCCAGCGACCTCCAGTTCTATATATATATATATATATTTATATATATATATTATATATAAATTTGCTATAGATTTCTCTTTTGCTTTAAAAGTAATTTATTCAGAAATATAATATAATGATATATCATATTATATGGTTATGATATAACCATAGTAATAATAATAATAATTATGTTATAGTATCAGATATTTTTAATAATAATGTTAATAATAATAATATTGATTTCTAAAGCACATCACCACCAAATTTGGTGCTCAAGGCGCAGTAGAAAATAAAATTAACAGACATTGAGCCAACAGAAATCACAAACATCAATATGTAAAAATGTTTTCTTGTAAATTTTATTATTGAAAATTAGTAAAATATGGCAAACACAATGAATTAAAATTTTGACCTACCTTTTCATTTTGTCAAAGTAATAACCATCCTTTCTTTTTATTACCTGGCCTTCTCACTTTCCCGTAGTTACACAAACCATCATTTCTTTTTTATCTGATATTACCTTGTCAGTTTTTTTTCCCTGATGTCTCTTTACATTTCCTTGTCTTCCTTATGTCACCTTTCTTTACTTATCCTTGTCTTATGTTTCATTATCCTTCCTTTTCTTTTTTTCCCATGTTACCTTATCTTTCTTTCTTTGTTTCTCATGTGACCTTTCTCTTCTTTCATTTTTCTTTCTTATGTTTCTTCATCTGTTCCTTTTTCTTGTCTTATGTTTCGTTTTCTTTTCTTTTTCCTTATATAAATTAATAACCATTAACCATCCTTATAATTTTTTCCTCTTTTCTTTGTCATTATCTTTCTTTTGTTTCCTTTTCTTTTCCTTGTCTTCCTTATGTTTCCTTATCCTTTTCGTAAGTAAATAAGATTTGAAAACGTGTATAAGAACAATGCAAAATGAAGAATTCTTATTTTAACATATTACCTGGTTTAATAAAATAATTTGTTCAATAAGGAAGTATATAAGTTTTCTGTTGGTTAAAAGGCTATTTCACATTAAGCTTCGTTAGGTGATGCACTGTCAGCCTGGTTGTAAAACTGCTGAAATGAACTTTAGCGTTGAAGAAGTCCAGAAAAATTTATTATTACTGTTTACTTTATTAAAAACACATCATGATGAAGATGCTGATGACGAGGATGATGATGATGAGGAGAAGAAAGATAATGAGGTGGATTATAATGAGTAGGTTAATGATGACTGATGATGGGGAGGATTGTGATAACGATGGTGGTAATAATGATGAGGATGATGATAATGACAATGATGATCAGGATTATGGGAATGATGAGGTTGATGATGATGAGCTTTAGGATTATTATTATTGTCAGTGGCGCCGAGAGGCCGGAGTAACCGGGACAAAGTGCCCTGGGGCTCAGGCCAGACAGGGCCCAGGATAGCAAGGTAAAAAATAATAAAATAAAGTAAATAAAAATTCCCACGAGAATTATAAATATAGAACTGACCGTTTATCGACGAAAGCTGGTGATTAATCTTTTCTATTTTTTTTTTTTCGTGAATGTTTTTATGACCTCTTTAACGTTTACGTTTACAATATATCAAATAGTAAATTCTTTTCAATAAAATAAAATGAATGAATAAAATGTATTAAATGTATACATTTATCCAGTATCATACATGTGTTTTCTCCACAGGAATTGTAATAAAAATGAATTAAAGCTGGTAATTAATCGCTTCTAATTCTTTTTTATTAATATTTTCATGACTTCTACTCTAGAATTCATGTTTACAATGCATCAAATAATAAATTCTTTACATTATAGGTTAATAATTATAAATGGCTGGGACACAGGACATCGTCAATATACATCAGGTTAAAGTTACGTATAAACCTGATAGATAATCGATTTTCAAATAAATACTGAATTAATATTTTAAACCAGTAGCTGATTTAAAGGGACTTGCCCCCCCCCCCAAACTTTATCAAATTTAATAAAAATTTAGAAAAAAATTCTACTAAATTTAAGTCTAAGAGTATGATTATCGGACGTCCAGAAGTTCAATAATCATTAATTTTCTTACCTCAGCCCTAACCATGGTGGGGCTAAGGTAAATATTCCATCCATCTTTGAAAATCTTTCTCTGGGCAAGGGAGGATTTTTTGGGGGGAGGGGAGGTGGGGAGTTGTGCGGGCACACCTTTGGAAGGTGTTTTAAAAAAAAGAAAAGAAAGAAAGAAAAAGAAAAAAATGGATTGGTCGGGATCTGGATCTGCCTCTGCTGGGCCCCCTCTGTTTTAAATTCTTGGATCCGCCACTGTAAACTGTGAGACCTATGTTATGAATCTTTTCAACACGTTTGAATAAAAGGAAGGATAGATTTTATACTTTTCATGTTTCTATACTTTATTTTTCATGACCTGGTGACACTCTTTAATGAATAATTACTCCTCGAATGTATTAAAAGGTCGTAGCTTCTGGGAGGAGCCACCGGGGATCTGCCCATCGATCCCGCTGGGCCCTAGGCGACCCCAGACTCAACTAATGGGCCCGGGAATATGCACCGGAGCACCCGGCCGCTCTTGGCGGCTCTGATTATTGTTAATAATTACATGAATAATCGCATGGAAATTATTCTCTTACTCTGTCATGGTAATAAGAAAAAGAGTGCAAGTTACCATTCAGAGTTGTAGTTTAGATTCTGGGAGCTTTCGATAACATCTCGTCATCCTCGTCAGCCGTTTGAATCTGGTGGTTAACTGACACGTCAGCATTTATAATAAATAATAATTATATGGTTGTTGATGAGGACGATGATAGTAATGATGACGATGACTAATAATGATGATGCTGATGAGAATCATCCTCCTCATCCTCGTCCTTATCTCCATTCGCGCCTCATCCCAATCTTCTTTATCATGTTATCCTCCTCATTTTCATGCTCATCATGACTAGGATGAAGATGATGGATGATGATATGATGATGATGATAATGATAATTATAATGGATGATGATGAGAAGGATAAGAATAATGATGATGAATGATGAGAAGGATGAGGATGTTGGTGATAAATGATGAGGATGATGAAGATAAGTATGATAATACAGTAATGATGTTGATCACGTTTATATTATAAATTTTAATGATAATGACAATAATAATAATGTGGATGATGGACAAAATGATGCTGATGTGGATAATAAATATTGATAATTGATGATGATAATTATCCACGTCATTCTCTTCATCATCATTCTCATTATAATCAACCTTATTATCTTCCTTCCCTTCCTCATCATTATCATGTTCATCCATACTCATCACCAAAATTCTCATCCTCTTTATCAACATCCTCATCATGATGAGAATTATATAGATAGGCCTAATATTGAGGATTATAATGATGGTGACGATAAGGATGATAATTGATGATAATGTCGATGAGATGACTATGATGATGGAGATGACTATGATGCTGATAATGATGATAGGATGAAGTGGTAATGGTGATGGATGACAATAATGACTTAAGTATAATACAGTAGTAATAGGGCCTATATTAATAAGATTAAACGTACTGACACTAATATTAATTTTAATATTAAACAATAATTTTAAAATATTAAGAATAATGTAAATAATGTTATATAGTATCATAACAATATAATTATAATAATAAAGATAAAGAAAAATGTAGTGTATAAAGATTAAATTTAAATAGGTAAAACACTTTTTTTGTGGGCTTTATTGTTGGCGCCAACCGGGGGTGGGGGAGGGGGAGATTTCCAGTCGGACAGGCATATACCCTTGCCGTCCGATGCCACGACCAGGTTTTTAGATCAAAATATTACTTGGCCTATCTAAATAATGTTATTTTGATTGTCAATCCCAAATATTTTGGTTTAAAGCAAAATTTTGAGCAATATAATAGCTATATAAACTCTCTCCGAACAAGAGTCTAGGCGACCAATGGGTTTTGACCCACCCTGTCGACAAATTTTTGGGGCCACAACTGAACGACATTTAAGGGTAAGTATATTACTAATTCTTATAAATTTTCACATTCATAGTAAGACTAGAAGT